TGCCAATTGAAATTGTGGTCCGTATCTATTCTATGCTGTGTAATGACAAAACTATTCTCCGCGCGACGATTGATGTGATTTTTGTGTTCGGAAACTTTTGTCTCATGGTCTGGCTCACGTATGAAGAATCGCAATCATTACATTACAACTCATAAATAATAATTCTGTTCCTTTGTTCAATTTCTACTGGATTTTTGTGATAGTTTTAATAAATCAATTTAATTTATTAAGACTTCTATAAGCTACCATATTTTCATCTCCCGTTTTCAACAATTTTGAAATTGTGTACAATAATTTATTGATAAAAAGTACAACGAAATAATTTTTGACGGTTTTTGAAGTTGATGTGGACTCTAAACTGTCCGATATTCCGTTAAATTTGTTCGCAATCAGATATTTTACATGGTCATTGATGACTTTAAAAATTGTCCAAAGGATAGTTGTTAGAGATAAGGACATTGATTAAATTTTATGTTCTTTGTTTGAAACACAGGATGGAACAACAAAGCTCTGTCAACCATTCCGATAATGGTTCTTATTTTTTGAGAGACTGGATGTGAGGAGTGGTAATTTAAATACTCGCCCGAAAACGTGGGCTTATGATACCAATTGCACATGATTGTCCCGTTATTAGACACTATCAATTTGACGTCTGAAAAGCTCAAAGAATTCTTATCCTGCGTATCAATTGTGAACCTCACTCTGTCATTATATCCGTTGAAAATACTGGATCGGTGGAAAAGTTCTGCGGATTTTTTAATAGATGACACTAGTGTCAGAAAATAATTATCGCGTGTCGTTCAAATGTCAGTCTGCCGCACATATTTTGACAAGTCACACTACGCTTGACATTTGGCAGTAGTGTTTGTTTTGGTCGGACGTGTTTTGCGTGTATGGCATACAACTAAAATGGAAGATCAAAAATTGCATTTTTGCCATATTTTGCTGTTTTTATTCCGTAAAAGATATAAAGCGGCGGACGTTAAGCGCGAAATATGCGCCATGTATGGTGCCTCGGCCTTAAGCGCAGACACATGCAAAAGATGGTTTGCTCGCTTCCGTTCCGGAGAATCTAACCTCCAAGATGCACCACGCTCTGGACGGCCAAATTCTGTTGACGACGACCAACTCCCGGCTACAGTGAAGAGTGATCGACACTTAACGACTCGAGAGATTGCGAAGCGCTTCGGCATTCATCATACAACCGTTATGGATCGATTAAAAAAGCTTGGCATGGTGAAAAAGCTTGATGTATGGGTGCCGCACGAACTGAGCAAAAAGAACATCATGGATCGGATTTTAGTGTGTGAATCTCTCCTGAAACAAAACTCTCTAACCCATTTCTGAAACGGATCATCACTGGAGACGAGAAATGGGTTGTCTACAACAACATTAAGCAGCGGAAGTCGTGGTGCGGTCCGGGCGAGTCTTCACAAACGGTGGCAAAACCTAATTTGCATCCACAGAAAGTAATGCTATGTATTTGGTGGGACTATAAAGGAGTGCTGTGGTTCGAGCTGCTCTCGCAAGGCCAAACAATAGATTCAAAGAAATACTGCGCTCAGCTCAACAAATTGCGCAAGGTAGTGCAAGAGAAGCGGCCAGAATTGTCGAATAGAAAAGGTGTGATTTTCTATCATGACAACGCTCGACCACATATTTCTTTGATCACGAAAAAAAAATTGCAGAACTTTGGCTGGGAAATGATGCAGCACCCACCATATTTGCCGGACCTTGCACCGTCTGATTATCACTTGTTTTGCTCGCTGCAAAACAATGTTGACGGTCATCAATTCGACTCAATGGAGGCTATCCGAAATCACCTTGTTGATTTTTTCGCCCATCAGTCCCAAGAGTTTTACGAGAGCGGCATCAAGGCCTTACCGAAACGTTGGCAACAAGTTGTAGATCAAAACGGTCAACACATTGTGGACTAAATTAATTTTTATAAATGTCGATTTTGTGTTTAAATTTTATACTAAAAATCCGCAGAACTTTTCCACCAACCCAATAGATCATGCATTTTTTGTAATGTTTTTATATAGAAACACTGAAAAAGATTCCATAGTGGATCGAAACGTTTGTATTTTTTTTTAATTCCTCGGATTAAAGAAGAATTTTATCTAAACATCAGGTGTAGCTTGTAATTGCCTTCTCCTTATCTTTTTACTTAAACATACAACGAGCACAATATATATAATTGAAAAAAACGTGTTATACTTTTCTTAAATTGATGTAAAATATTTATATAAATCAAAGATATAAAAAATATTAATAAGGTCAATTCGAGTAATACGAAAAGTTTTGTAATATAATTGGAAAGCAACGAATATGTTGTAAAATGACAAAAAGTCGCAAACGTTTCGATTCTCATTTAAGTTTTCTTTAGTGTTCAAATAATTAAAAAGTCATTGGTGTCACATAATAACAAGAAGTTGGTAGAGAAAATACAAAAATGAAACGCAAACTGAAGTCTTACAAACGCATATGATAGCAAATAATTAAATAGATTAAGATCGCTGAGAGTGCTAACGAAGTGCGACCGTAATAGTCAAAACCGAGTCGTATAAGTTTATTCTGTATTTGATATGATGTCCATCATAGAGTGCATTTGAGTGTAGGCGCGAATGACCAATGTGAAGTTATGGTGTTGATAATCGTAAGACATCCTGTAAATGTTGTGTTGAGAAGCGCTTACACGAAAAGCAAAAAGACATGAACGAGCAAAACAATTTACTTACAATTCAAAAGTCAAAAGTCAAATGTTGAACAAAGGAAAAAGAACAGCGTTTATACAATTCCCCACTACCAAGACAAGGTTAAAAAAAATAAGTACGTTGAAATTCAAATTCGAGAAGATTTAATTTCGTCAAGCAAGTTAGAGTACGAATTGTCAAGTAAATCGGAGTCATTGATTAAATTCAAGCCATATAATTGTTCTTTGATATATATAGTGTTAAAAATTAATCTTTTATAAAAATTGGATTCATAATCTAGAATCTGAACATTGTTCCAATTAAAAGAATGATTCTAATCAATGTTTAGAAATATATATAACTGATAATTGTGAAGAGTTTTGTAATGTTGTTCATATGTTCTTTGATTCTCATTTTTAGTTATCTTTTTGTCTGTCCAACGTAAAACGTGCAACAATTCATACAGTTAATTTTGTACATATATTATATTTGAAATAGAAAGGAACAAATATTTGACTTATGTGAAATATGGTCTTTATGCAGACCTTCATTATTTTGTTAAGTTTATTTAGATATTTATAGCCTATAACTTGTATAGCTTATAATTCATAGCCAATAACTTCAGTTTTTTTAAAAAGCGTCGCTAATATTTTCCGATATATTTTTTATGTACGTGAGACTTCAGTTTGCGTTTTATTTTATTTTCTTTACCAACCTCTTGTTATTATGTGATACCAATAATGTTTTGATTATTTTTACACTGAAGAAGACTCAAGTAAGAGTTGAAACGTTTGCGTTTTTTTGTCATTTTACAACATATTTGTTGCTTTCCAATTATATTAAAAAACTTCTCATATTGCTTGAAGTGACCTTAATATTTTTCATATTTTTGCTTTGTATTTACATTGCGAGCAATCCTTATTTATATTTTTATTTATATAAATTTATGTAACAAAATGTGTCTTCCAATGATCACTTTTAAGTTTGGCTCTAGTTCACGTGTGTGTGTGTCAGTATTTATAGCAAAAGTCTTTGTTCACAGAAAGTATCAAAACTGTGTAAACATAACACAGTCTCTTTTCAGTTTACTGGCATTTCTAGTTATGGTTTTGACATATCGATAATTTTTTAATGTGGAAGTTGCATAGAAGTTTTATAGCTTTACAATATATTATTTCTATATGTACAACGATTACTGTGAATAATATTTTTTGTACAGAATTTCGATCTTTTCATTCTTATTTGACATTCAAATATTTTATTCCATACACTATTTTAAATATACTAAGCTATGTTAATATTATTAAAGATAATAATCCCAGCAAACACAAAATATAACTGCTATATATAATATAGAAGTAACAGTGTGATATACGTAATATAACAGCTGTTATACTCTTAACATCGATGTTATATAACTTTGTTTTATAAATGTAATATAATAATGTTATATATCTATTATATTGCTTGTTATTATCTAGTAATGACATTATTACTTTCATATAACATTTCTGTAACTATATAACAATTATATTACATTCTACTTACATATTATATTCATATTATATAACTGCAATATACGATAAGTAGGAAATTACAACTAACATGGATGTTACATGCAACGACCATGTTATATTACTTGTTACATTTGTTTTATTACGACAATGTTGCTGTTATATATCTATGTTTGCTGGGTATATACAAGCATGTTTTGGCATAACATCCTGCAAAACGGCTCTTATAACCTTATTCATATTCTTAGTTAAAAATGACTTATTTTAACTTGAAATATTGATTTAGAAAAAAATTAACATTGATAAATTTAACAAAAACTTAATTTTTATGGTTTTGATAACCAACGTTTTGAATAGTATAGTTTCTTAAATAATATTATATAGATTAGAAGTATGCGCAACAAACGTGAAAGGTGCACTCGTATAGTGTGTGGCAGATTACTTGGCGACATTTTGGTCGCGTAGACTCGCTGACGATGTAAGTGCAATGCGAGAGGGATGCAACGACAGTTACAGATTCTCTCGTCGCGAGTGTTCAGAATATAAGGGCAAACACGCGTGCGCGGTTGTTTCTACGTGAAACAGTCGCATCACAAGTGCTTTGATCGTTGCCAGTATACTTTCTTCCTATTTCCTCGTTTTACTTATAGGTCGACGTGCCTACGGGGCGTGCGGTGAGCACATCGCTTACGGATACATGTGCCGCTTGAATGTAACGCTTGCGCAGTCGTCGAACGTTGCCAGACAGCTCGTCGTGACGGATACATCTCGCGGCAGTTCGCGATCGTCTTCTAAGGCAGACTCATTAGTCGCTCAACATCCAACCGTGTCTCAATTTTCGGTCACATTTCATCACTCGTGCAATTCACTCCCTCTGTTCTATTTTTTCTCCGTCTTTTCCACACTAGATGATCAATACTGTCTCACTATAGCCTCTTTTATCTTTCCTTTAATTTTGCATTTCCGATCCAAAAAAGTGATCTCGATGAAACAAAATTTAACACAATCTTTTCTGACTTTTGAACAAAAAACGCGTGTAAACATTTATATAAATTCCTAATCTTGAAGATCGAATCCGGTCGAAAAATTATTTTTGGTTTTCGGTATTTCGATACGCAGCCATCGCGTCCGAAGTCGCACTCTACCAGATCATTATTTTGGAATTGTCGAGCAGTCATTAGATAGATCGTTCGCTCTTTATCTTTGTAAATCAAAACGATTGTAGTTTCGATCGGAGCGCGCGATACGTGGTGTAGAGAGAAAAGTTTTAAGATGTTCTAAGTGAGAAACGACTGAAACGACTGAGTCCGATCTGAACGGGAAGGTCGTGTAGGCGTTCGAAGTTAGCTGAGGTCGTCGACACATCGACGGCAAGTACAAGGAGGAGGAGGAAGAAGACGACGACGACGACGACGACGACGACGACGACGACGACGACAACGACAACGACGACAACGACAACGACGACAACGAAGCAAGTGACGATACGCTACAATAGCATTTCGGCTAATGGTTGAACCGTCGATCCGTCATTTGACACTCAAGTTTCCAATGCTGCAGCCACCATCCCCTCTCTTGGAGATGGCGTCCTTGCGTCTACCAGACTCTGAGGAGTTCGACGTTGACACCCGTCGCAGGAGCAACAACGGCAACATGCCGGTCACGACAGTTGCGAATGTGCTGCCCGGTACCGGTACTTTGCTACAAATGAGAAACGACTTTGGCGGTTATCTTAACAATCTAATTACGGAAGCGATTGCAACACCAAGTTCATGTACTACCATGGGAGATCAGGTCCATGAACTGTTCAACGCCAGCAAGACGAATCTGTCAGCAATTGCCGAACCAGTGCCTGATCGGTTATATCGGCATAGCATGGCCATGTCAGCGGTTTATTGTGTCGCCTACGTGGTGGTCTTTGTTGTAGGTTTGATCGGCAATAGTTTTGTTATTGCCGTGGTATACCGGTCACCCCGCATGCGGACCGTCACTAATTTCTTTATTGTCAATCTTGCTGTGGCCGATGTGCTTGTTATCGTTTTCTGCCTGCCAGCGACTTTGATGAGCAACATATTTGTTCGTAAGTATTGAAACATTTTTCAATTTTTGAGATTGTTTCATTTTCTACGTATGTTTCATTGCTCTTTATTAAGATTGAATATTTATAGGATTGAATATAGCAATAAGAATAGTTCCGATCTCTGATTTTTTTATTATGTTTAAACTCTTTGTTTACGTATGATTGAAAATATAATATATTTGTAGATGTAAATGCTCATACTTAAGGTAAGGCTCACATACTTAAGTTTCTCATAATAAAGTCATACATTATTTTTTACGACTTATGACGCGTGAGAAATATTTCTTTGAGTGTAACAAAAATATTTTTTGAGTTATTCTATCAAGACAAATACACTCCATTTAAAAAAGAAATAGAGATTCTCAATTAAGAGCAGTTATTACATCGTGTATAATCTGTAAATGGCTTTAATTCCATTTTTTCTCAAATTGTGCAAAAAGAGTAGTTAAACTGGTGGAAAAAGTGGTGTATTCTCTTTGTATTATTGAATCGATTCTTTTGCGTTTTTTTCTCTCTTTGCACACTTGAGGCGATATTTGAACGTTATTATCTAACTTTTAAGTAAAAGCTATAAATCGCAACTAACTTGGTTTGCTCTTGAATAATAGCGCTAAACCAAAAATAAACAAAAACAATTAGAGACAAAGCGCAAAATAGAGCAGATGCACAGTTTTACATTACATTGTCGAATAATATAGGATGCTTTTTAACAACACATGTCAACACAAGAGTCATTCTGTCTTTATTTCTCATTAAATAAGGACACAATGATTCTTATGTCGCTAACTGGAAAGCATTCATATTTGGCAAGACACCGAAAAAGATAAATACAATATTTTTTCCTTTTTCCTTTGAATGGTTTGAAATTAATCTTGTATAGAGACAAAATTTTGATTTTTAGATGTTTTAAAAAAAATGTATAATTAAGATATAAAAAGAACCTTACTAATAAGTTTACACAAAAAGTCAGAAACTTGCCAACCATTTTCTTTTGCAAGGAACAAAAGCAACACATTATAAAAACTCTATAAAAAAGAAATATTGTATATGTCCAATCAGAGACAACTCAAACAATTAACAGACTTATGCGGCACTGATCGCAATATGAACAAACAAACGGCGTACATATTTGCATTTTCCATGAAAAGAATTACGCGGCTAACGTTCGAAAAAAACACGCTCTCTTTAGAAAATCAGCGAATCGTTACTAGCGTCACATACCGCCCAATAATATGCGTGTACAAGTAGCGTTGTGATCCAAAGACTTTTAATTAACTGCCTTATTAGTCTGTACACACACACACACAAATATTTTTTCAAATAATTATAGTATATAATTTGTACATTTTGTCAGTATTAATTACAGATTTTTGTGGAAATTGTTTTGAATAATACATTTCTCTAAAATTAAAACACAAAAACACTTTTGATAACATTTTAGAAACAATAAATAATTGATAAAAAAATTATATAAACTATAATTATATTAAAAATACATTTAATACATTAATTACATTACACATACATACATTAATTAATATATTAATTAATTACACATTAATTAATACTACCAAATACAATATTAGTTATTTTGTTTATCCTGTATGTTAGAAAAACATTTTTATTTCTTTTTTTGAAATGATATTATATGTACTGTTTTGTAAATCTTTTCTTTGTAACTTTTTTTATTTTCAATTTATGCAAATGCGCAACGTTAAAAGTAAAAACTATATAAATTAACGTTTGTAATATATAAATTACTATTTATAAAATTAATTTATTTTATTAATATGTAATATGTTACTGCCAGCTGTGAGCTGACTCGTAAAAACGCTTTCTTTCTTCTTGTTATTAGACTTCTTTATGTTGTATTATACTTATTTGTGTTGTGTGCTGAACTTACGTATTATATTTATTTCACTAGTCGTATGTGCACGAGTACTATTTTCCTGCTGCGACGCGATCAGCAATGTCAGTTTTTGTAACTGTTCGCAAGTTAAACGTAGAAGTAGCCGTTTACATATGCGGTCACACATACTAGCACAATATATTTGTATAATTACGGTAAAAGATCATGATCCTAAAACGCAAATCATCTTAAATGAGAACATAAAAGATGCGTTTGTACTGACATATTTCGTTTTCTCTTGATGACGTGTTTTATTGGACGTTATCAAGAATGTGTTAGACCCATCAAAATTTCTCGGCAATTTCAAGCTATCGTCGCCGATGCTGAGAAAATTTGTTATATCCATTTGATTAATCCGCAATTAAAATGGCCGTCTTATCTTTCATTGCCGATAAGGCAACAACTTACGCTGGGAGATCAATTTTGCTGGAGGAACGAAAGCCGTTGAGTTGGGCTTATACATTAAGATGGGTGCAGCAAACTCTGCTTGCTTTAGATTCAGAAGAAACGGCTCTGTAACTATATAATTAACACGTGCATTTTTATGTAATTACTAAACATTTTTTAATATGCTGATTATAGTTAATATGTTCAATTTCTTAGTATGCTAAAAATAAATCTAGATAAAAGAATTTACGCGTAATACATTTTCACTAAGAAAATAACTATCAAAAAAATATACAATTCCAAAAATTATTATCTTTTATGAGAGATACACGATACACTTTTCTGTAAAAACACATGCTTTATTATTAAGATTAACCGATAAGTTTATCGTGTATCTCTTGTAAAAAACAATAAGTTTTGGAATTGTATACTTTTTTGTTAAAAGTAGCATGTTTGTTAAAAATAGCTATTTTTGTTAAAAGTAGTATAGTTTTCGTTAATCGACTAATCGTCAAACATGTAACTGGAGACATTATTAACATGCATTAAATGTGCACTTTATTAAGAACTTGATCTTCGTATGCAAGATAGCTCATTGCGACTGCATGTTATCACGCAGTATTACGTATACACACGCCACATACATAATGTCCGGTGCATCTGTGCACTTGCATCAGGCAGTAACAGACGACTAGCAAATGCAAGTTTCATTTTCATTCAAAGAATGTGCAAAAAATTTCACTAAGGAAATATTATAGTCTTATATACTAGCAACCGTTGTTACAACTGCTAAATTATTTATGATACAAAAAGTAAAGTGTGATTACGCGCCAAGATCGTAAAAGGCGATTGATCCGGTAATAGATAAGTATCGATGAAAGAATGATTATTTCAGTAGTCTTTTGATTCTTCCTATAAACAAAAATCTCGATGCCAACGTTTCTTTTAAAAAGCATTTTTATTTCTATAAAAACCATGTATGTACGCATCCTGAGTTTTTACATGAGCTGTAATTCACAAGCGAACACGACAGATTTATAAATGTCGGCAAAAAAATATCTACTTGACATTTTCTTTATGAAAAGTGCAAATTAGGCGTTATTAAATACTTTAACCGCACTTACTGCATTTTTAATGCAGTTTAGACTGACATACGTTCCTATTAAAGCATTATTTGTTGTAAAGTATCTATATATTGACATATTACGACTGAAAAAAATAAAGAGAGAGAGAAAAGAAAATTATATAATAAAAATTTTGTAATAAAAAAACCTCGTTGACAAATGAGACTATTATATTTAACAAAAAGAAAAATACATACAGATGGTTGTGAACAAAGTCAAATGCTATATAATAGTTGCAATTAAAAGTGATTCATTTCTTTATTACGTTTTCAAACCATACATCTAATAAATCGAATAAATAGGATTAAGATATGTACATATGTATGTTGTTAATGAATCATTATGTGTGTATGTGCATATGTGCACACACGTGAGTAATGTATATTACAACGTGATGTATCTTTGCATAGTTTTGTATATGAAGAAGTTACTTCGTCTGCTTTGACATAAAAATTGTCAGTAATCTTGGTATTCTGAACCATAAATCGACACAATAAATCGAATTACGTACTGACTGAGAGTCACCGCATCACCAAACCACTCTTTTTTATATATAAAATCACACTGATCAAGATCTATAAATTGACATAATAATAAATTTTTTAGTTTGAAAAAGTGTACATAAATAGTTACACAAAAAGTAAATTGATTGCTTTATACTGTAAGAATCGCCAACAACAATCCTCCAAAAAAGGTCTTTATTTTATTCACAAAATTTAACTCAGAGTATTTTCTTACAAAATATAAGTATATGCGCTCGCAATATATTGCTTAGGATTTACTAATGACTTTTGAACTGTGTTAGAACTGTGTTAGAACTGCGCTGCAGATGCGGAACTAGCGTTTTTAGGGAGGATTTTGATAGCCAAGATTTCTTTTGTGCAGATCAACGGTTGCACAGCTTCCGTTTGCACAGAAAATTTTTGCGCATAGTCGTCATTACACAGACATATTATAGATTAGGTTGGATTAGATTTTTTCGGGGAGGGGGTGCAGTGAGAGGGGCGGAGCCCCTCCTCTGCCTACATATGTACTATAGTGTGTGATATAAGCAAAATATTTACTTCGCAAATGTAATAATAACGACTATGCGCAATCGGAATCTGCGCAAAAATTTTCTGTGCAAACGGGATCTAGGCAAACGGAACCTGTGCAATCGTTGATCTGCGCAAAAGAAATCTTGGTTATCGGTGCCTTGCCGCGTTTTTATAATGATTTTGGAGCGTCGACTCGTTGGTTCTTTCCATCTGATTTATTCCTTGATTTTCCCTACTTCATTGTATGTTAAATTATCAATTTCTTATTCGTTGATGTCTAGAGGCGAGGTCTTCTACTACAGAAAGTCTCCAAATCGATAGAGTTATCGCTTGTTTAAAATTTGGATATCTACGTGTCTTATCTTGTTTAAATTTGCGTCAGCCGTCTTTTTTTTTAGTTCTCATAATTTTACAATTATTCTTCTGAAGTTACAAAAACCGTGTGCGTGGTTTGCGCATAAAGAGCTCTCCTTTTCTGAGAATTGAAAAGATTTGTTTATGTAATTCAATTTCTTCAACTCGGTTTTGTTTATAACACGTGATTAGGTTCGGATCTACTTGTCTTATCTCGTTAGGCTCTCTAGTCTCTGTCTGGGAATTAGTTAAACTATTTCTTAAAATTCTAATTAACTGTTATAGTTACATGAGACGATAACGCTTACGATACAAAGATGAAGTTATGGTTATATCATACCAATTTAACATAACCTTGTGGAGGTTTTGTTCTTGCATCTTAAAATTAACTCTTTTGCTTTTAATCAAATCAGAATCTTGACACAAATGAATTGTTATATTTCAACATTAATTCTGTACAGAAATGTAATTAATTATACTACAGTTCATAGTAAAGAAAAATAAACAAAATGAGAGTACAAGAGAAATAAACTCAATTGTCTTAAGATGCTAAAATATCAGCCAAATTTGACAAAATTGAATAAAATAGGTGTGTAACTACAACACAAGTGACGTCAATCATTATTAAATGTCATTAAAGAAACAAAGACGTATGTAATGAGAGATTATAACAAACAACATATATTTCGCGTCTTGTTGTTCTTGTTTTTATTATATAAACTTTTAAATCATATTTTATATTTAATTATATTTTGATAATCTCAATTATATTTTTAATACTTATTATATTTAACTTATACAAGTTTGAATGCGCCGAATCTCCCCAAAAATGCTGTGAGAAAGTCATGACATTTTTTTCAGTATTTGAGAGGGTGGCAGGGGGAACTGGGGGATGAAAGTGGTTCGTTTAGGGTGTAATCGACTTATTATTGTTAGTTAATTGTAAAATAATTTATTTCAATTTTTTTTACCAAAAAATAAAATAGGCCGAAAACCTCCCTTATCGACCCTCCTCCTTTGATATTTTGAATAAAATAAGAAACACTTCTACAAAAAGAAGTAAATAATTTAAATAACTGCTTACATCATCTTTTATTATGCTGCAAAAACAAAATAAAAATGATTAAATTACAATTTCCTGGCACCATTTGACTATATTTTTAATTACGCAGTACATGTGGTATACAATCGTTTCTAAGCTTAATTTTCACGTATAGTCAGACGTATCAAAAACAAAAGATATGAAAAAGTATTACAGAAGAATGTGATTTGCCTAGCTTATGAGAAAACTAGTATCGAGCATTAAAAGTATCGTATACTAGCAGAGTTTCTGGGATAACTTTGTTTTACTTTTACTTATATACGTTTGTCTTTGTTTATTTGAAAAAGTTTGATACAGTAACAGTATTTATTTTCTTTATTAAATCTCATAAAGTTTAGTTGTCACTTCAATATCCTCTTAAGTATCAAAACAGATTGCTTTTTCAAAGTGGCTGCGACCACTAGTAAATACCTTTTTTAGGATAGTACATTAGTACAGATTTTTAATACAAATATCTTTTTCTGTAAAGTTTTAAGTTACAAATTATTACAATAAAATGTCGTTACAAATGCGCTATCATTAATCAAAACCCATCTACTCTTATATTTGTGTTAATAGTTTCTCGACACAATGAACGCCACAACATGCGACTAGATTTAAGATTTTCCGTAAACGTAGTCAATAAATCACGGTTGTAGAAAAGTTTTCCGACATCGATTTTGATCGCCCGTTTTTTTGTAATAACGGTGATGCATAAAATAATCTTTGTGTTTACATGTGCAATAGCAAAGATCAGTATGTTTTTCTCTTAATAGACTCTTCTTTTATATATACAGGGTGTCTGACAACGAACTATAAAGCCGACGTGTGTAGGTAGATCGAGTTATTCTGAACAGAAAAGTTATATACCATTTTGCAAAATTCGCAATATTTATTGAGATATGAATTAATAAATGTGAACCAATGAAGGCGCGGGGAGCGATGATCGGACTCTATAGGCGTGCAAAATTATCAGCTCTACTCCTCGCTCGCCGCTGCTCGCTGCGTACCACTGAATAGCGCCCGATTGCAAGAAACTGAGTCGTTCCGCGCTTGTTTGTTCATTCCGCCTCTCGTTACTAAGACATTACATGAGAGAAGCCATTTTTCTTTTCATCTGATAATCGTGCACGCCTATAGAGTCCGATCATCGCTCCCCGCGCCTTCATTGGTTCACATTTATTAATTCATATCTCAATAAATATTGCGAATTTTGCAAAATCGTATAACTTTTCTGTTCAGAATGACCCGATCTACTTACACACGTCGGCTTTATAGTTCGTTGTCAGACACCCTGTATAATTCATTGTATCAATTAATCCTCAAAGTATCAATGAATGGGAACACGCTTTATTTAAAACATCTCATTTAAAATTTTTATAATATTCAGATAGTATTTATAATATTCAGATAGTATTCCTAAAATTATAACATTTCGCAGCTATGTGTCACTAATACTATTGATATTATACGCAGCTAATATGCTTTTCCCATACAGGATTATTGTAAAGCACCGTGTCGAGTCTAAGCTTGATGCGACAACCAAAGGATTGAGACATTTCACAAATGTTATCGAAGCGCAGCGTTTTAGTAAGAAGTGATACATAAATACGAGATATGTAAGTGTATCGAGAACTGCTGCTTGGTTGTATACATACATGTGCATGTGTCAGCATAGAAACACCTGAGAAGTAACTCCACTCTCAATATACAGAGCTCTCTTTTTCTCCTTCTATCTAAACAAGAAAGATCTCGATGGTTCTTAACGCGCCGATTTTTGATTCACTTTTCTCTTTTTTTCCGTATTCGAGACTGATATTCTAAACGTTCTTTTTATTGTATGTATACATATATCGACGATCTTTTATAAGAGAATAAGTTACATTGAATGTTAGCATACATACACACGTTTGTAATATAATTACCTTTTTATATAAAAAATATAATTACCGAAAAATTAACGAAATATAATTACCTTTTTATATATATAATTAACCATACAAATTACATAGTTAATACGTATATAATCAACAATTTTGTATATCTATACTTTGTAAGAAACAAACTAGATTACATTTTTGAATCAGAATTTCTAGCTCAATAAATGTAACAGCAAAAAATAAGAAACAACATCGTTAATGTCTTTTCAGCTGGAATATGTAGATTTAGCACAATGTACACAATTGGTACCGTCTTATAATCGAATGCGAATGCAAATGCCGCCATCAAGACGCCGTATAATTACAAACGTGCTATTAAACAGACAATGCACGACGTTATGTTAACATAAAACATCTGAAGTTAATGTAATACATATTGCGAGTGGACATAAAACACACACACACACACACACACACACACACACACACACACACACACACGTTTTCACTGAAAAAAAGAAAAATTATATAAATGTGTAATTAAAACTTGTTACTAACATTACTTTTTAAACCTCTTTTTACATTGTTTTATCTTGAAGTAGTTTTAAATAACTGATAGACTGTACAATTGTTCATAAAAAAAGATTAGAATCTCCGCAATGGAAAATGTGATTTTAAAAGTAAATCTTTCTCTCTCTTTAGAAAAATGTACCTATATATATAATGTGTATGTGTATACATATATATATGTATACACACACATATATATATATACATGTATATACATATATATACACACATATACATATATGTATATATATATACATATATATACATACACATACAGTAGGAAGCACCATATCATGTGGCTCCAGGGGAAGTATTTTTCGGGAATTTCTCCTTTGACTGCTTCTACTATCGCGCGTCGTTCTTCTTCGGTCTCTGCCAGCAGCCCGAGATCGAAGGAGAGCAGCGCGCAGTAATAGGAGCAGCTAGAAAAAAAATTTTCGAGAAATACTTCCCCTGGAGCCGCAAGATACGGTGCTTCCTACTGTACATATATATATATATATATATATATATATATATATATATATATATGTATGTATGTATGTACATATCATTTTCAACCATTTTATATACGTCGAGTTATATAAATTGAATTGATAATTTCAAATGTACACACTTAAAATGAACTACGATTATCTTGGCTCTATGTATAAGAATTTGTCCATATAACTTACTGAATCACTTATATATGTATGTGAATGCACAAACTCCCAAGTTCGTGCATCGATTTTGAAAAATTGAAAAGAAGCTAGATTTCAACATAGTATACCAAAAGTGTATTTAAAGCAAAATTACAAAAGTAAGCTTCATACGAGTTTTGGATAATTATGTATTAATTCTTCACTGCTAATTTTATAAGATAAAGTATAGTGATTTGCTAATCAATCCTTAAGTGAATGATAAAACCGCATGCACCATTGACACTTCATTACCCTTAAAATAAAATTTCTGTAAGTACTGATTGAAATGAGAAATATCTTTATTCAGAAATAAACAATTTGAATAGCATTTGTGGTATTCATTAGACTGATAAACAGGACTCATAAACAAGCATAAATTGTAGTTTCTTGACTCTATTTTTAAGATGTAAAATTATTTCTGTCTACATATAGTCAGACCTGACTTGTCAAAGACATAAAAGAATATTATAAAACAATTGAGTATGATTTGGATATCCAACATACAAAAAAATTAGGGTAAATATTCAAAAAAACGGAGCACCTTGTCATTCATATATTTCTGACACTTTTCTTTCAAACGATGTAGTTGCTCATAATAAATAAAACTATTAATTTTTAATTTATACATTATTAGATTTATGCATTTAAATTTTAAAGCTTATTAAAAACAAAGATAAATATGTTTAAAAACGAAGCACCCTCGGAGGTCATTGTCTTTAGCATATGTTGTCAAGGACATCTTCCTGAACAACAATCTGCAACTTTTAGCCATCACTCGTTGTTCGTTAAAAAATTATAAACAAAAGAAATATCATAAATAAACTTTTATTTTTTGACACCGTGTACGTTTTGTTCGTGTTGTAAGCGTGTAGGCAGGGGGGGCTGCGCCCTGCTTACACGCTAGAAGGGCGAAGCCCCTCCTTCTTGCTCTCACTTCACGAAAAAATGAAGGCATATAACAACATCAATATGCATGGTTACACTCACCATACAGTAAATCACAAAGAAAATTTCGTAGATCTTCATACTAATTGTCACACGCAAAACATCGAAAGGATTTGGCGAGATATGCAAAGTAATATTCTACGTTTTAGAATATCGGTAGAATATTATAAATTTTATATAGCTGAAGTTTTATTCAAACGCCGATTTGTACACAAGGAACGCATAGACAAATTTTTCTTAATAATGTCCGAAATTTATCCATTAAATGATAACGAACGAATTGGCATAACAACAAACATATATATATATACACATAACATTGTAAAATATTGCAAAGAATAAAGTAAACAATCTTGACATGAAGCGACACTAAATTCTTTATTTTTACGTGAGGGGAGAGCAGGGGGGAGGGGCGAAGCCTGCGGGGGGCGCAGCCCTCCCTGTCTACACGCTTACAACACAAACAAAATATACACGGTGTCGAAAAATAACAGTGTATTGGCGCAACTTCTTTTGTTTATAATTTTTTAATGAACAACGAGCGACGGCTAAAAGTTGCAGATTGTTGTTCAGCAAGGTGTCATTGACAACATATGTTAAAGTCATTGACTTTTGAGGGTGCTCCGTTTTTCTGAATATTTACCAAAATTAGTATTACACAGTGAAAGCTATCGTATGTTAGCAGAGTCTTTATCATATAACTACTTAACTCTTTTTACATACAAGTTTGCCTTTATCTATATAAAAGCATGTTTAATTGTTAGTATTACTTTGTGTGTGTATTGGTAATAATAGTAAACTACTTTACTCATTTTCGACTGTCATTCCAACATTATTTTATTTTTCAGATTAAGCATGCAAAGACCATAGAAAATTAATACATGAAACACTAAAATTTTACGTCATTCTTTCAAGAAAAAAGATTAAATTTCACAAAAGATATTTTGTATTTTTTTAAATATAATGACTATATAAATATTTATTAAAAATTCTTCACCATAAAAATAGTGCAAAACTTGTTTCAGTAGTTTGATACGCGTACTTTGACTTACATACATATTTATACTATACCCGACTCGCGTTCCTTTGTTCTTTTTTTCAAATTCATTTTGTGCATATATATCTATCTCGTAAAATATCAAAAGCAGTGTACCGATAACTTAACCTAACCTTTTTTTTTACATGGGGGAAATCTATTACGGGTACCCTGGCCCTTGAGGGAATAAGGCCAGGGTTATGTGGGACTCCTTTCTCTGGCCCGCAGATCAGGGAAGGTATACCCACTAAAACTCCCATGGTGTGTCTGCTCGCTCGTCATAGAGAAGGCCCGGTACCCTTGTTTTAGGATAAAGCCTTGGCCCTCCCTTGAGCACACTTCTCGTAGGAGGAGGGTTGTTGTCTTCCTCCTTGCATTACACTAATTTAGTGGTGCCGCGGGACACACGCCGCCGCGCCACTTCTTCTCTTGGGACCGCGTGTAAGGACGAGTCAGGGACCTCACCCTGACTCATCGCAGTCCTCGCAGCAGGGACTTTCCTCCCCGGGTGAAAGTTTACCCAAGGAGGCTGCTGCGCATCTTTGCGTATTCAATATGTGTGCCCCGCTGGAGCGATGGACTAACGAGGGAGCCGGCTTCCCAAACACCCATCACCCCAGTCCTCCTCCCCGCTGTTAGTGTAGGCGGGGAGGGGTCTATTGTCATGACGGGGTCCTTGGTCCCCGAAGACGCGCGCGGGAAGCGGGGGCAATCCTGCACCCCGCTCGCACGCGGCCCCGGGGCCCCGCTGCTAGGAGAGGGGCTCTCTCTCTCTCCCGTTCTGCGGCCTCCTTTTGCTTCAAGACCTCGGAGCAAAAGAAGACTACAGCGCCCCACATGTCCTCATCCCCGGAGGCTAGCGCCTTTAGTAGGCTCTCCAGGGAGAGGTCTGCTCCTATTTTGGCGATCAGTGCTTGGCGCTCTCCCGACCACTGTGGACATTCCTCCACCGTGTGGTCCACCGAGTCACTGGCCGCCCCGCACGCGTGGCATTGTGCCGTCGGCTCCTTGTTAATGCGACACAAGTACTCCCCGAAGCAACCGTGCCCGGTGAGCACCTGCGTCACGCGATAGGTAAGGCGTCCAACCCCTTTCTTCTCCAACCACTCCCGTAGGTGGGGTCGGATGACCCGGACAACCTCCTGGGCATTCGCACGCGGCTCACCCAGAAGTTTCTCCCAACGCTGGAGTTGTTGCCGGGCCTGGCGCTCCGAATTGACGAGGGCCTCCCGGAAGGTGTCTCCCTCCACGCCCTCTCGCAGCAGCTCGACTCGGCAATCATACCGGCTCAAGTATAGTTGCGCGAGGAAGGCAAGGGGAGGTATTCCCGCCAATAATCCCGCCGTCTCCTTGGGCACTGTGCGGAAGCCGCGAATCACGCGGAGGGTGATCTTTCTCTGGGCAGCGCGGAGCAAACCAAACTTGCTCCGCGCGAACTTAACCTTGTCACCCCAACCCCGGGAGGCGCCGGTCGAGACTCCGGAGGTGGTTCAGGAAGTCGAGGTCACGACGCAGGAGCAAGAGTCACCCGAGTTCCAGTCACCATCATCGGGCAACAACACCGATGAAGAGGAAAAGAAGGATCCAAGTTGAGATGGATTCCAAAGCCAGGAAACATCTGCGTGCGAGTTGCAAAAACTTTAGTATTAAGGCCGTTTAGTTATTAAGGCGTTTAAGTA